TACCGACATCAAATACAGTGAAAACAGGGGTTATACTGTGGGGGAGGGACATACAAAGCAACAAAGAAATCAACTTATAAATGTGTTAGAAACAATCGCATGAAAGAAAAAAAAACATTTGAATACATATCTTAGGGTTCATTTCCCTATGACCCAGCAATCCCACTTTTGGGCATTTACCCAAATGTTCACAAACAAGACCACACTAAAGCTATCAGCACAACTATGTTTATTGCAGCATTACTTACCATAGCTAAGATATGGAACCAATCCAGATGCCTCTCAGTAAATGAATGGATCAAGAAAATGTGGTATATATACACAATGGAATTCTGTGCCTCCATCAGAAACAATGACATTGCCCCATTTGTTAGGAAATGGAAAAACTTGGAAAAAATTATATTAAGTGAAGTAAGCCAGGCCCAAAGAAACATAGATCCCATGTTTTCCCTTATTTGCAATATCTAGTATATGTCAACTGATATTCTTTATTCTTATTTCATCACAGCTCTGAGCTAAGAGTAGCCTCATTACAGTTAAGGAAAAGGAACAGAATATTTGTTGAGTGACTAGTCAAAATGAGTTTGCAGAAATTATGGAGGGTAATCATACAGGACACAAAAGGCCTTGTATTCTGGAGAGGCTAGGGAAAAGAGGAATGTGACCATTGTTAGAAAGAGACACTTTGATGTGGTTGAAAAGGAACCAGCAAACATAATTTGTCGAGTTCAGACACTGGGCAAGAATCAGTGAGTGACTATGTATGGCTGGATCGCCTGACAACAACTAAGTTGAATGTTTTAAAAGGAAGTAATACAGTCATCTGGTGCTTGAGATCAAATCACAACATGCATACATTCCTCCAGAAATTCTTCTGGAAGGCAGACTCAAGAAATAGACAATCCTTTCTTCATTCCTCTTAGGACTATCACCCTTGTTGCTCAATTCCTCTTTCAAGTCAGGAAATACAATAACTTTTGAATCCAACAGATATAGATTTCAAACCATGTCCCAAATCAACAGGGAACCTTGAACAGGTACCTTATCATTTCTGATCTTTTCAAATTGTATTTTTTATTATCTTTAAGTGGCTGTACAAAGGAGTTTCCATTCAACAAATCAGTTTATGAATACAAGGCATCTTGATTGGTGTCAGCCCTTCATCATTCTCCCTGATGCCACCCAACCTAACCACTCCCTTCTATTTTTCTTAAAGTCATAGGGTATGCATTGAATATTATGACTGCATTATCCTCCTACATCCTCTCATTATTCATCTACCCTCCTCCCCTTGACCTTTCCTACTATAAACTTCAGCCCATAGGTATGTCTCTATGTGTGATTTAGCAAATTGTTAGCATCTATGAATTAACAATATAGAAATGAAATGAGCTAGTAAATAAACAACATTTGACAATTAGTCATTTTTCATCCTTTAGTACTGTTTAGTTGTTTAGTTTCACTAGTACTGCTATGGCCGGAATGTAACACACAGTCTGAGATTTTGTTCTAATCTTTGTGGAATGGGCATGTTGGTAGTTCAAAAGAACACAGAAAAAATAAGATAAGAAAAAATATGGAGAGGAGTCAAGCCCAGACTTTAACATGAATCTTTAATGTCCTTAAAGTTATAGCAAAACATTTTAGATCTCATCCTAGGTCCACATATCTCTCAGTTGTTCCTTAAACTCTGTGTGACCTTGAAGAAGCAACTAAATTTAATGACCATGTTTCCTCATGTAGAAACCAAGAAACATAATACTCACTGTCCTGTTACCATTAGTTTAATGAATCATATTATTTTTTTCAGTGGTGGGGCTTGAACTCTGGGCCTGGGTGCTATCCCTCAGCTCTTCAGATCAAGGCTAACACTCTACTACTTGAGCTACAGTGCCACTTTCAATTTTCTGATTGGTTTATTGGAGATACAAGTGTAGCTGTGGCTCATGTTGTAGAGGGCTCACCTTGAGCTGAAGAGCTGAGGGACAGTACTCAGGCCTGGAGTTCAAGCCCCATGACCAACAACAAAAGAAAGAAAGAAAGAAAAAAGAAAGAAAGAAAGAAGGGAGGAAGGAAGGAAGGAAGGAAAGAAAGAAAGGAAGGAAGAGGAAGAAAGGAAGGAAGAGGAAGAAAGAAAGAAAGAGGAAGAAAGAAGGAAAGAAAGGAAAGAAGGAAAGAAAGAAAGAAAGAAAGAAAGAAGGAAGGAAGGAAGGAAAGAAAGAAAGAAAGAAAGAAAGGAAGGAAGGAAGGAAGGAAGGAAGGAGAAAGAAAGAGGAAGAAAGAAGGAAAGAAAGAAAAGAAGGAAAGAAAGAAAAGAAAGAAAGAAAGAAAAGAAGGAAGGAAGGAAGGAAGAAAGAGAGAGAGAGAAAGAAAGAGAGAAAGAAAGAAAGAAAAGAAAGAAAGAAAAGCATCTAAGCTGGGCACCGATGGCTCACACTTGTTTTTGTTTTTGTTGGTCATGGGATTTGAACTCTGGGCTTAGAAACTGTCCTTGCACCATGGCTCAAGGTGAGCACTCTACTGCTTGAGCCACAGCGCCACTTCCGGTTTTCTAGTGGTTTATTGGAGATAAGAGTCTCACGGACTTTCCTGCCTGGGCTGGCTTTGAACCTCAATCCTCAGATCTCAGCCTCCTGAGTAGCTAGGATTACAGGCATGAGCCACTGACACCCAGCTAGTGAAACACAAAATACTAATCTTGCTCTCTATCAGGTTTTTAGTGACAGTAAAAGCTGTAAAAGTAATAAAATTGTGTGGAAATATCTTACGCAAGATTTTAAAAACACAATCCATTTTAAAGAAATATACTGATGAAACAATTCAATAAATATGATCTAATCTCAATATGGGTCATTAGAGCCTTAAGCAAGCCAGCAAGCATTCCTCCCTCTGCCACTGAGTCAGGTAGAAATTCACCTTTTGTGTTGAGAGAGTAGTATATTGTGGAGCACATGGGCAGCAAAGATGGCGCTGGGAGGGGGTTGAGTGGGCAGACCCCAATTGATCTTCTGATCAGTGCCTAACCAGCCCGTGAAGGCTCAGGTGAATGATAGGGTGTGACCTTGGCAGTGATTGGTTCCTCTTCCTCCCTTACCATACCACCCACCCTTGTTGTCTTTAAAAGGGGCTGCTCTCTGTTAATAAATGAGTTTTTCTACCTGCTGGATTTGGCTCCCCGCTGTGTCTGATTGTCTCCTGGGCTGAGGGAGGCTAGGGAACGGGCAAGCGCCGCACTTAGCTTTCCTCGGACCCTGTCCGTCTTTTGTGGGAAGGAGGAAGACCCAACAGTATATGACTGTTCTTTGTGTTTGAGGGCACTGGTATGTTAGCCCATGAATACATTTGCATATCTGTAGTGATACTTACACATTAAATAAATTTCCTGAGATCTGAAACCCAATGTCTCATAGCTCAAATACTTCCCTCTAGACTATAAGGAAGGCATCCTGTGATTACAACTTTGCAAAGGGAGACATGGTTTTCACAGGGAATAAAATAAACTTGTCAGCCATTGCAAATGGACCAAGATAGAGGTCACATGACTAAACTACTCTTGCATGAGGAAGTCTCTCATGTATTTTATTCCAGCTTTGATCTATTAATCAGAGGATATGGAAGAGTGAAAATTAAAATGCTGCAATAATCAATTCCATAACACATTAACAGAAGCTACATTCAAACTATATCACACCACTGACTACACTGAAATCAAGACAGGAGCCCTAGGGCCATGATTAATTTGCAATAATATACATGAAATTGGAAATCAAGACCACATGAACACAGTCTTAATATTTATTAGTATTTGTTAGTAGTATCTTCCCTGATAGATAGATAAACTGTTGGTGGTTTGACTTTTCAACAATAAAATTGTGTGGTTGATCAGCTTTGTTTTCATTCTGTAATTACAGAGAAAAGGACAAAGAGAACTATAGTTTGAGACATGTGTATGCCATTTTCACTCTATAAAACCATGGCTCAGATATAACTTTGAAACCCCAAAAATCTAAAAGCAAATTATTCCCAATGACTTTGTAGATCTTTGTCATTAGATCCTTGCTCGCAAGTAACTTGGTACTCAAGATAAGATAAAATTTATAGAGAAAGCTGAACAGATGAGAATGTGTTAAGACCTCTGGGAACTTTAATGCATTCCAAAAGAATTTACCATCGTAAAAACAGATAATTAAGGACAATTGTTGCCACAAAAATAGGTAAAAACAAACTTGGATTTAACCCAAAGGTTAGGCAAGTTCTATCTCTTGAGACATAACCCCAGTCCTGTATATAGTGTATTTTTTGAAATGAGGTCTCACAAACTTTGTAGTGGCTGTTCTGAACTTGGTCCTCCTGTCTCTGTCTCCTGGGAAGTTGGGTTTACAAGTGTACATCATCATGTCCAGTGACAAGCTTTGTTTTTTTGCTTTTTTGTTGGTCATGAGGCTTGAACTCAGGGCCTGGGTACTGTCCCTCTTTTCCTCAAGGTTACCACTTTGAGCTAGTTTTTGAGTGGTTAATTGGAGATAAAAGTCTCACAGGGACTTTTCTGCCCAGACTGGCTTCGAACAACAATCCTCAGATCTCAGCCTCCTGAGTAGCTAGGATCATAGGCATAAGCCACCAGTGCCTGGTAACAATCTTTCTTAAATCAACCAAACCATCAGTTCCCTGGCAGTATAATAAAGTGAACTCTTTGGGGTTCTAAGCATTCACTGTTTTTTTTTTAATGTTATATGTGTGTTCTGTATTATTTTGTTTGCATTTTCCTTGTGTCTAAGAGAAAATAGTCTTACCAAAGATATTAAGCTACTGGCTTACAGTGTCATGGATATTCTCTGTAGTCTCAGTTTAAGTCTATTTTAGACTTCTAGAAGGAAAAATATATATATAAGTACAATCATAAATCTTTTAAAAACCCATTTTGCCCATCACACTTGTTCCCATATCCACATTTCCCTTTCTTTTTCACCTTTTAACCTCCCATCCCATATCTTTCTTACCTTGAACGATCAAGTAAACTTGGGAGGTCTTGGGCTCATGCTGTGTCTGAACTGAGCATGTGTAGGAACCCTCATCGTAGACATCCACCTTCTGGATTCGGAGGCTGTATTCCAGAGAATGGCGTTTCTCCAGCTCAACCCGGGGATCCAGAGACCACTTGTCATGTCCAGCAAAAATGATGCCAGAACGGTTCAACCAAGCCACCTTCGAGTTCTTGTCTTCTACAACACATCTGACAAAGCAGAACAATAATATTAGTACCCTAACCATAACTGCATCTGTTCTCATTCTCTGCATGACTGGACTCAACATGACCAATCAAAGAAAGACAATTATATGCATTATAAATCATTGCCATGACATTTCTTCCAAGTCTTAAGTATTTCTTCTGTTTCCTTTAAGATCTAATTACCATCCAACGGACAAATGTCATTATATTAGATTCAGTTCGGCAATAAACAACCGGATATGAGAAATTCAGGCCAATAAAGTTAAATGAATACTGACTTCCCACAGGATTATCTTCTCATTGTTTAGGGAAATGTCATTCAGATAAAACTCCATCTGCTTTAGTGCTTTGAGAGTGATATAATTGATATTATGGTGGCTTTACTCCATCTCAAGCTGTATTTATTATTTCATGTGTGTATCCTATAGTCTTGCCTGATGGTAGGTTCAAGCTTGGTTCCACTGTTAGGAATTAGTGCAGATTTTAGGGTTCACTGTGAACCTTAAGAGATTGGAATGACATATGTGCAAGCAGTCCTGAGAGTAAGTGGATAGATGTTATATCAAGTAAATCAAAGCAAACATCATTGGGCTTAAGCCTCACTCCCTCTGCAGAGGATACCAGGTCAATTGATAGCAAGATAGCAGGCTACTAGCATTTTGGGCCACGTTATATAATTGCCATCTTTCATAGGAGATGAAGGGAAATGTTTTTTCACTTTTCATTACAATAAAGGTAAAAGATAAATGTTTTAGAAACCTAACATGAAGCTCAGAAAAAAGGGGTAAAGAAAATGCATTACTGGAAAAGAGAAGAGGTAAACCCAGCTGGCAAATGAAGTTATTTCCTTCAATTTTCTAACCAAAGCAAAAACCTAGCAATGAACAACAAGAAATCAAGAAAACAAGAACCACCTTCCAATTGTTCCTCTCTGGTAAGATTGAGATCTTCCCTATAGAAAGATAATCCCAGACCTGTTCACAACTCAGAGTCAGCTGTACAAAACTCTGGGGTATAGCAGAACGAAAATAGCAAGACCATAGATAGGAGAACAAGTTAAAACACCATATCTATTATGATGTGTCAAATCCAAGTCTCTTTTGGGTCAAAAACAGGAATAGAGTCAAGTGCTGGTGGCTCATACCTGTAATCCTAGCTACTCAGGAAGCTAAGATCTGAAGATTGTGGTTTCAAGCCAGGCTGGAAAGCCCATGAGACTCTTATCTCCAATAAACTACCCCAAAAGCCAGAAGTGGAACAGTGTTTCAAGTGGTAAAGTACTAGCTTTGAGCACAAAAGGTCAAGTCTAGCACCCAGGGTCTAAGTTCAAGCTACAGGACTGGCACAAAACAAGCAAACTAAAAGGAATAGAAACAAAACAAAACAAACACATACATAGAGAGCATACACATAGATTTATATGCCAACTTGTATCTCTCATAAACAAGCACAAAAATGTTGTAATATAAATAATCCTTATCCCATAGTTATTAGGTAAGTTTTATGTTTTATTCTGAGTAACTTCAGCTAATGGGAAACAAGACACACAGGGTTTGGGTTTCCTTTTCTTCTTTACCTATTTATTTTCATAATTATAGTTAGATTTAATTGCCAGAAAGCATCTCTGTTTCCAATTTCTTTGGCTCTATGTAGACCTTACTAGAAATCTTCCTTGTGTTTGACAATCCAGAGCTCCTCTGAAAGGCATTTTGTGGACACTGGCTGTGTCTTTCTGGACTTCACATGTCTCTCCCATAATTTTGTGGCATCCACTTCTATGTCCTTGGTGGTGCACAGCACTGTTAAACTTAGAGTAATATAGAGCTAATTAATAGGCTATTTGCTGCCTTCTTCCAAGGATGGTGAATCTTTTTGCTGTCAAGGGTCATTTGGATATTTATAGTATCATTTGCAGGTCATACAAAATTGTCAGTATGGACAGATGGCCAGGATGCAGAGGATGAAAAAGGTATGCTTCTATCCCATCATGCAACAAATGATTTCAAAAGCCTTATGCAGTCTGCAGACCCGATATATTTTCCATCTCTGGGGGTGGGTAATGTAGAACATAGACTTATTTTGTTTTGTACTAGGAGGGATGAAAATATATCTATGCAAATGTAACATAAATATATTAGTGTTTTTCTCTCAGGGACCACTGACCTCCCTAATCAAGGCTGAAGGCACCCTAAGGCAAAGCACCAGGCCTAAGTGGCAAGGGCCACTTAAGCACAGTGCAGGGGCATGCATGGGAAAACAGTGGCCCTGGCCCCCTCTTCCTGACCCTGGTCACAAACCAAGATAAATTTTCTCAAGAATGTTAGCTAAAGAGTTTGCACTCAGCTTGGCTCCCCATCTCGTCTACCAGATCAAGATAAGAAAGTAGCTAGTTGACTCAAGGATCCTAGCTTAAGTTCTTGTTTAGCTCAGGGTTACTTTTCTACCAGAATGATACTGCTTTGTGATACAGAAGAAACTTATTTACTCATCACTAATTATGTATAAAGTTTACTGCTTTCCTATTACTGTCATGCTGGATAATAAAAACTGCTTGGGAGATGAACTAGGGACCTTTGTTCCCTGAGATGTATTCCCTGGTCTCCCTGCTTTGATTCCTGAGGTGATCTCTGTGCCATTCTTTCTTTCTTTGCTTCTTTCTTTGTTTCTTTCTTTGTTTCTTTGTTTCTTTCTTTGTTTCTTTCTTTCTTTCTTTCTTTCTTTCTTTCTTTCTTTCTTTCTTTCTTTCTTTCTTTCTTTCTTTCTTTCTTTCTTTCTTTCCTTCTTTCTCACACCATGCCATCCCCCTTCACCTTGCAGCACTGGATGCTTCTTTCTTTTCAACTGTCTCACCTGAACAGTTCAACACAGCAATGAGCAAACCTGCTATATCACAAAGAACTACTCTGAATGCCCTTAACGAACAAATACCAGTATATGTTCTATAGGTATGATCTACAAGATTAACCAGAAAAGATTGCTCATTTGGTTATTTCCAAAAGCTGTACTAGAATAAAACAGACCCTTGGTGCATGTGCTGTAATGTAGACTAATAGGGTCACACAAGGCAGACACAGAAGGAACATATGGCTGCCTACATTCCTTGCCCTATTTCCAAGCTCTAAATAATTGACAGATAAAATTGGCAAATCTTCTTATCAGCATAAGAAAGAAGTGCTAAGTCAGGTCTTTAGGGTCCTTTGGCATTTTAGTAATTTTATCCATTGAAAAGTTAAAAATCATACACGTCATTATTTCAAATTATTCTCTGGGAGTATTCAGATCTATCTTACCTAAAGAAGTAATTGACTATTTCAGAAAAATTGCTAGACCCATAAAATGCTTTTTGTGGAAACTTTGCCTTGACAAACTATACATCTTATTTTTAGTTCAGGTCTCAGTCTTATTTGGTTTGTAAATTTATCTTTTACTTACAAACAAGTGAAAGGTGTATCAGAACACCAACACACATTTTATTAATTCAGAGGGTTAACTAAACTCCAAGTACCAGAGTACAACACAGAATTTTTAAAAAGGAAAGTGTATTCCTACATCTTTAAGAGTTCTTCTTTATAGGATCAAAGTTCCAAAGTAAATTTATTAAAACCTAAAATATGGAAAATAATTGTGCCGCAATGCAGCTGAAATTTTCCTATTGAAAATGGAAAGATACAGTATAATTTCAGAACTTTTTAAAATTCTAAAATGATTTTAATGATTTTTAACAATTTTAAACTGTAAAGAGTAAACACAAGGAAAAGGAGCCAAAAGTCAACACATTAACCTAATTTTGTACCAGGATGTGTTTTCTAAAGGAAAATAATCAATTGGTCACCAAGAAGGACCACAGACCATCTGGCTATACAGAAATGAGAAATGTTGGTGTTGACACAGATCCTGGTGCCCAGCATTCACTGACTAGGCAGAAACTCTCCTGGGAAGTTGACCTAACCACAGGATAGACAGTCTGTAGAGTAAAAGTCGATTGTAGAGTCATGTCTATGTATTATGATACAAATGAATTATTGACTAACAACATATTGCTTCAGTACTGGACAGTATAGTTCAATAGGGTATGTTTGATAACTTCATCTCAAAAACCAGACAGGGCTACAGCAGAACTATAAAGATGTATTTTTAAGTAGGTTATGTATTATGAGTTACTTGATTTAATGGATATTTTTCAAGGGGTTTACATGTATGTTACTTCTGGGATTTAGAAAAGACAGTGACCCTCAGAGAATGGACATTCATGCCACAAAGAAACGACAGGAGAATACCTTTCCACATTTGGGTTGGGTATATTTCAGGCATCTGAGGACCTAGGAACACAACAAAGTCATTGTGAAATCTTTTCATATCAGTGTTCTGTCCCTTCCCGGTGACGTTATTATCCTGTATGTTAAATTTCACTGGTTTGCATTTACCTTTACTCATCAAAGACAGGAAACTTTTATAATTCACCTGTAGAGTCCCCACCGAGCCCTCTAGCATAAACATCATCTGCTCAGTAGATGCTTGCTGAGGTGTGGAATAAATAGACTGAATTTAACAACTTGCTTAGGTCATCTCTCAGATATTTATTAATCATTTAATGGATGAAGAATAGTGTGTAACAACGTAACATTTCTTAAGAAATGGTTATAATTTTCCTGAAGGAGAATTATTAAAGGTAGTATTAAAAGGAAAGTGAAAGAGAGAAAAATGTATTCCCCATTTCCACTATAAAGAAAGATTATGTCTGGGAGCCAAGTAATATACATTGCCTATAAAGAAAATGATGAAAACAAATATAAAGCATTACATAAATGTTTAGTAGGTTATCCACTTTAAACATGGACTCTCATACATCAGATGAGTTATCTATTCTAAACATGAAATTGATTTTTTAATCAGCTTTAAATAATAAGAATTACGCTAGGCTCAGGTGGCTCACACCTATAATACTAGCTACTCAAGAATCCAAGATCCGAGGATCACAGTTTGAAGCAGGAAAGTCTATGAGA